CCCTCAAAGGGGAAAGGTAAGATAAATAAATCCACAGTTCCCTGGATGACAAAGATTTAAATTAAGATAAGGAAAAAGTGTGCTGATCACAGGTGTCAGGTAGTAAATACATTTGAGAACCAAGAGGAATACAGAGATTCAGAGGGGAAATGAAAAACCATATCCAAAAACCACAATCGAATTGAGAGAAAAGACTGGTAGCCAACATTAAGGGATATCATAAAGTGTTCTTACAGGCATTATAAGCATTTAAATTGTAAAAGAGTGCTAAAAGGAGCAGTAGGACTGATTAGAGACCAAGAAAGGTATGTAACTTCAAAAAGACTGTTAACCCAGGACATTGGAGGCAGGCAATGTCAGGAAAAAGTATTTGGTACTATCTCCTTCTCTTCAAATCTTCCATTCCTTTGTTTGCATGGACAAAAGAGTCAAACCACAATATCCGGTCCTAAGCCTTCAACCTAATCCATGCCGATCTTGCCCAAAACTTCATATTTAAAACTCATGTAAAGATCATATCTTCCTATTTTGTTGTATTTTTCCATTGTGGATTAAAATGAGAAAAAAATCGTTTAAAAATAACAAGTATTGTGGGAAGGATTACTGCAATTTTTAAAAATAGGTTACCAATTTTCATTGTAAGTGCCGTTTACACTGCTCTCTGTTCAAGCAACTGGTGAAGTTTGGCCACAAATGAGATGAAGCCAATGAAATAGGATTCAAGAAGCAACAGTAAGCCAATTGATTTGTGGACTAGTGACCAGCTGTCAACAAAAAAGATCTTCTGCCTGTTAACTGATTCACTCACAAATAGCTGAACAGCTTGCAGGTGTGAATGCTTCATCTGAAGCTATTGAACCTCTCAAAAAGATGATGCTATTCTTTATTCTGCAGTTTAAAAAAAACTCAAGCCTGAAGAAATCCAGTTTATTTCTCCTCATCATTTGGTGTAAACTGTGGCTTTTAACCAATATCAGAGATATTGCAAGTGTGAACCAGTCGTTCTGCACCTTCTGCCAGCAAGAAAAGAATCTGAATAGGAAGATTGAGGAGTAGCAAGATCCCACGGGCAAAATTATCACCTCAGCAAACCCTATGCATAACGATCATTGAACTACCTTCCAGCTCTGCACCTTGTTACCTCAGATTCTCCAGCATCTGCAGTTTCTATCTCTGAAACAATTTTAACCCCACTGCGAAGCCATTTCTGAAGAAGGGTCTAGGCCCGAAACATCAGCTTTCCTGCTTCTCTGATGCTGCTTGGCCTGCTGTGTTCATCCAGCTCTGCACCTTGTTATCTATCATTGAACTACCTTCCCAGTTTTTCCCATCTGTCCATAACATCATTTTTTTTGTCTGAGGGTTGTACTCATGCAATACGAGATGTCAGACAAATTGGAGACAGCAGGAATTGGAAGTGGTGATTATGTAGGGATTCCACATATTAAATGCAAATCATAAAACCAGGAGCTAGAATCTACTGGCAGTTGGGACCTAAACTGCATTACACCAGTATCAAAGCTAAACTTACAAAAACCTCTCAGTATAATTTGACAAGAAAGCTTAAAGGTGTGAAACTATCACTAATTCAGTACTAAAGACAGTAGTGTAAACGGCACTTACAATGAAAATTGGTAACCTATTTTTAAAAATTGCAGTAATCCTTCCCACAATATTTGAAAACGATACAAAGATAGGTGGAGGGACAGGTAGTATTGAGGATGCGAGGAGGCTGCAGAAGGATTTGGACAGGTTAGGAGAGTGGGCAAAGAAGTGGCAGCTGGAATACAACGTGGGAAAGCGTGAGGCCATGCACTTTGGTAAGAAGAATAAAAGCATGGGCTATTTTCTAAATGGGGAGAAAATACAGAAGTCTGAAGTGCAAAGAGACTTGGGGTTTCTAGTCCAGGATTCTCTCAAGGTAAACTTGCAGATTGAGTCAGTAGTTAGGAAGGCAAATGCAACTTTGGCATTTATTTTGAGAGGACTTGAATATAAAAACAGAAATGAAAAGCTTAACGTATGTGGAACGTCTGAGGACTCGATGGAGTTTAGAAGGATGAGGAGGGATCTAATCGAAACTTTTAGAATACTGAATGGTCTGGAAAGAGTGGATGTTGGGAAGATGTTTCCATTGGTAGGAGAGACTAGGACCCGAGGGTACAACCTTTGAGTAAAGGGAAGACCTTTTAGAACGGAGATAAGGAGAAAGTTCTTCAGCCAGAGAGTGGTGAATCTATGGAATTCACTGCCACAGAAGGTTGTGGAGGCCAGGTCATTGAGTACATTTAAGACTGAGATAGATAGGTTCTTGATTAACAAGGGGATCAAGGATTATGGTGAGAAAGCAGGAGCATGGAGTTGAGGAACTTATCAGTCATGATTGAATGGTGGAGCAGACTCGATGGGCTGAATGGCTTAATTTCTGCTCCTATGTCTTATGATCTTATAAAGTCTTAAATACAATTCGCTTTTCCTGACTTGATAATATTTGACTCTTCTCTAAAAACATCATAATTGTTTACAATAAGCCAAGAAACCTAATATCACTGCTTTCTCTGTCTCCACCTACATTAGGGGATCGGGTCACTCTGTTGGCTGGACAGCTGGTTTGTGATGAAGAGCAACACCAATAGTATGGGTTCAATTTCCAAGCCAACTGAGGTTACCATGAAGGACTCTCCTTCACAACATTGTCCCTCACGTGAGACATGGCGGCCCTCAGGTTGAAACACCACCTAAAGAAGAGAAAAGCTCTCTGGTCCATTAAGACCATAAGACATAGGAGCAGAAATTAGGCCATTCAGCCCATCGAGTCTGCTCCACCATTCAATCATTGCTGTTAAGTTTCTCAACCCCATTCTCCCACTTTCTCCCTGTAACCCTTGATCACTTTGACAATCAGGAACCTATCTATCTTCGTCTTAAATATAGTCAATGACCTGGCCTCCACAACCTTCTGTGACAGTGAATTCCATAGATTCACCACTCTCTGGCTGAAGAACTTTCTCCTTACCTCCGTTCTAAAAGATCTTCCCTTTACTCAAAGGTTGTACCCTCGGGTCCTAGTCTCTCCTACCAATGGAAACATCTTCCCAACATCCACTCTGTCCAGACCATTCAGTATTCTATAAGTTTCAATTAGATCCCTCCTCGTCCTTCTAAACTCCATCGAGTCCTCAGATGTTCCTCATATGTTAAGCTTTTCATTCCTGGGACCATTCTCCTGAACCTCCTCTGAACCTGTTCCAGGGTCAGTACATCTTTCCTGAGATATGGGGCCCAAAACTGCTTACAACACTCCAAACAAGGCCTGACCAGAACCTTCTAGAACCTTACACAGAGGGTGACGGGTGGCTGGTACTCGCTGCTGGGGGAGGTAGTGGAAGCAGATACAATAGTGACTTTTGAAGGGCGTCTTGACAAATACATGAATAGGATGGGAATAGAGGGATACAGTCCCCGGAAGGGTAGGGGGTTTTAGTTGTGATGGGCAGCATGTCGGTGCAGGCTTGGAGGGCCGAAGGGACTGTTCCTGTGCTGTAATTTTCTTTGTTCTTTGTTCTTTGTTATAGAGCCTCAGAAGTACATTCCTGCTTTTATATTCAAGTCCTCTCAAAATAAATGCCAAAGTTGCATTTACCTTTCTAACTACTGGCTCAACCTGCAAGTTTACTTTGAGAGAATCCTGGACTAGAAACCCCAAGTCTCTTTGCACTTCAGACTTCTGTATTTTCTCCCCATTTAGAAAATAGTCCATACCTCTAATCTTATCAAAGTGCATGACCTCCCACTTTCCCACATTGTACTCCAACTGCCACTTTTTTACCCACTCTCCTAACCTATCCAAATTCTTCTGCAGCCTCCCCGTATCCTCCATACTACCTGTCCCTCTATCTATCTTTGTATTGTCTGCAATCTTAGCCAGAATGCCCTCAGTTCCTTCACCTATGGCAGCATTACTTTTGTGGGGGCGGGGGGGAGGGGTTATTGAGGGCTCAGCTCAGTTGGCTGGATGGCTGGTTTGAGGTGCAGAAAGGTGGCATCAGCATGGTTCAATCTCCAGCCGGTTGAGGTTACCATAAAGGATTTTCCTCATCAACCTCTCTCCTCGCCAGAGGCATGTTGACCTTTATCACCAGTCATCTCTCCCTCTAATGAAAGCCCTATGGTTTGCTAAGACAATGGCTACTTTACTTTCACTTACAACACAAAGTGGTTCAGGCCAAAACATTATGTGGTTTCAAGAAGGAGGTATGTGTAGCTCGTGGTTAAAGGGATCAAGGGATATGGGAGGAGAGTGGGATTAGGGCAATGAACTCTATGATCAGCATGATCATACTAAATGGCACAGCAGGGTTCAGGAGTCAAGTGGCCTCCTCCTGCTCTTGTATTTTGAGTTTATATGTTTCTGTAAATCAAGTGCAAGTCAATGCTATTCTTACGAAATATCCTGGTCAATACCTGTTCTAAATCACAAGACTGATGAAAAAGCAAATAAACACCTCCCATTCCTATGTGTACAAAAGTAATTAACTCAAATTATGAGCTCATACACACCTACGTGTAACACACGTAAATCAAGTTTTTAAAAGATTTCTTAATCTATAATCCAGATCATTCTCAAAGTTTTAGCTGTAAAATGTACATTTTTTTTAAATCCTAAATTTCTCAATTCCTTTGCTTAATGTGTAATTAGTGCTGAGAAATCCTTGATCAACTGGGGGTGAATCAGCCTGCTATGCCTCTTGATGTTAGAAAATGAAATGTTGTTATTCCAGGTCAATTCATTTCATCAAGTTGTTAAAAATATTTTTGCAAAATAAGCGCAAGAGAAGGACAGCACAGAAGTCTCTACCATTAGCAGTTAAAACATACAATTATCTCAATTCTGAACATTCTAGAACATACTATTATACTATTGCCACCATGGTTACTTAACCACCTACAGCAGGCCTACCCACACTTGCAAGTGACAAAGAAATCTAACTCTTATGTACCTTTTGATGTTTCCAGTTCATTTGGTTGAATTCTGGAATTCATTAAAGCATTTTCATCAAGTTCTTCTTCCATTGTCTGTCCTATAGAAAGCAAACTCAAACGTCTCATTTTTAGAAGTTTTGGGACACCGTCACAATCAGTAGCCCCAACATCCAAAACAACATCGCCAGTTATTACAGCAGGTACCACTCGCTTCAGAAAATCCATTTTTCAACTTTTAAAGAGAGTAGCAACCATAAAAAAAGCAGCTGAGCTGCCTTATACACATGAAAACATTCATGCAAACTGCCTTAATACAAAAAGGTGGAATATTTGCTGTGGGTTTCAGTGATGTCATGCAGGAATTGGGTGGTGCCTAAAAGTTGCAGGTCAACTTGCTATCATCGAACAGCTTTTGAGATTCGCGCCTTGCCCAATAAACCGATAAACATGCAGAATGCAAGGGCTGACAAAGGTCTCAAGGTACATTTGAGCACAAGATATAATATTTATGAATGTACCAGAATCTACATATCGAGAACTGTGAAATTTCTTTAAATACCAGGTATTAAGATTTTTACAGAAACATGAACACGTTTCTTTTTACGAGTTTGCTTTATTCTCTCATTCAAACTTATTCAGAGTGGGTGGAACCTCATATCTCCAACAGTAAAAGCTTTTTCCAAAAGATAATATGTATCATTTTAAAACTATGTAAACACAGTACATCTAAATTTGCAGTCCTAACTACACACTTCCGTACAAAATTAGAATATTTTATCCAACATAAAACAGGATCACAACAAGTTCAAGCCATGATTAAGATTTCTTGAAACACTTTTTTGGTGAGACTCAATTAACTTTTTAAAACTTTGCTGTTCTGCTACTATGACTTTTATAAAATACCTTTAATTCAGAAACGTTGTGTGCTTCAGAGGAGAAACTGACAGTGGTTAGCACTGCTGCCTCACAGCGCCAGGGACCCAGGTTCGATTCCACCCTCGGGAAACCGTCTGTGTGGAGTTTGCACATTCTCCCCGTGTCTGCGTGGGTTTCCTCCGGGTGCTCTGGTTTCCTCCCACAGTCCAAAGATGTGCAGGGTAGGTGGATTGGCCATGCTAAATTGCCCTTAGTGTTCAGGGATGTGTAGATTAGGTGGGTTATAGGGGGATGGGTCTGGGTGGGATGCTCCGAGGGTCAGTGTGGACTTGCTGGGCCGAAGGGCCTGTTTCCACACTGTACAGATTCTATGATGAAGAGAAGATGACTAAAAGTATAGATTTAAAAAAAAGTGTTTGATGAACTTTTGTAAGTGAAGAAAAGCAACATGGCAGAGGTGCTGAAGGTGCAGATGATCAAAAGAACACAAATACATATCTACCAACATTATAACTTGCTTAACTGTTCATGATTAGGAGATTTTCCTGTATCTATTGGGAGATCAACTGAAGTGTGTTTCTTTAAATCTTTCACATGACATACAATTCCATAATAAGATGCAATTAGATTTAATTATATTTACAATATGAATGTTATGACCTGTAATGCAACATAGCCCTCTCCTGTTGCATCTAAAGCAGACAGTAGACCTACTTTCTCGTTCAACATTTTAATACCAGCACAATTTGGCAAACAGATTTAAAACCAGAGATCTGAGAGGTGATGAACATAGAACATAGATCAGTACAGCACAGTACAGGCCCTTCGGCCCACAATGTTGTGCTGACCTATTATCCTACTAAGGTCAAACTACCCTGCATACCCTACATTTTACTATCATCCATGTGCCTATCCAAGTGTCGCTTAAAAGTCTCTAAAGTATCTGACGAACTTGGGGAGCCAGGTAAGGCAAAGTAATAAACAATAAATGGGAAAATACCAAGTGATGTAGAGGGAGTTAAAGGCCTTGAAGTAATTGTCCACAGCTCCATAAAGGTAGCAGGACAGGTAAACAAGACGGCTAAGAACCTATATGGAATTGTTTCCTTTACTAGCCAAGGTAGGTCCTGGGGAGTGTTGCTGAACAAACAGACCTTGGAGTGCAGGTTCATAGTTCCTTGAAAGTGGGTCGCAGGTTGACAGGATAGCGAAAGCGGTACTTGGTACACTTCCCTTTATTTATCAGTGCACTGAGTGTTGGAGATGGGATGTCATGTTGCGGCACTTTTGGAATATTGTGTGCAATTCTGGTCTCCTTGCTATAAGAAGATGTTGTGAAACTTGTCAGGGTTCGGAAAAGATTTACAAGGATGTTGCCAGGGTTGGCAGGTTTGAGCTTTAGGGAGAGGCTGAATAGACTCAGGCTATTTTCCCTGGAGCATCGGAGGCTGAGGGGTGACTTTATAGAGGTTTATAAAATCATGAGGCACATGGATAGGGAAAATAGACAAGGTCTTTTCCCTGGGGTGGGAGAGTCCAAAACTAGAGAGTGTTGGTTTAAGGCAAGAAGGGAAAGATTTAAAAGGGGATCTAAGGGGCAACGTTTTCACGCAGAGGGTGGTGTGTGTATGGAATTAGCCACCAGAGGAAGTGGTGGAGGCTGGTACAATTACAACATTTAAAAGGCATCTGGGTGGGTATATGAATAGGAAGGGTTTAGAGGGATATGAGCCAAATGCTGGCAACTGGGACTAGATTTATTTAGGATATTTAGTTGGCATGGATGAGTTGGACCGAAGGGTCTGTTTCCATGCAGTACATTTCTATGACTCTATGTAGACTATAAGAGCGGGGAAGTTATGTTGGAATTGTATAAATCATAGTTGGGACATTACCTGAATAGTGCGCGAGGTTTTGGCCAACTCATAACATAAAGCATGTAATTACACTAGAAGGTATAAAGGAGATTCATGAGAATGTTGCCAGGACTAGAAAAAGTACATATGTCGACCGGTTGGAGTTGTTCTCCTTGGAACACAGAAGGCGGAGGAGAAATCTGATTAAGACTTTATCCAAGCTCCCACAATTTGATGTTAGCGGGAAGGGTCTACAGTTGGTTCTCCTTTAACGTGCGTTCCGGCAATGCACATTAGCCATAACACGACTGATGAACATGGGACACTATTTCTAAAACGTCAACTTGTGTTGGCTATAATGTGATTCCATCGCTGTGCAGAGGAGTACGTGTCAACATCACATGATCATTTAGCAGGCTTTGTCCTGAGCGTGCGCAATGTAAGCGCCAAGTATCACCACGCCAGCATCACACAATCAACGTGAACAACAGAGCAATCTCAAAACCTCCTCCCCCATCAAGTCATTGTGACATTTTTTCAAGGTATGGTGTTAAATTTACTTTTACTTCATTATTAGATATGAATTAAACATTTTTTCAAACTGTGCGATCCTTTGTGTTAAGCTTTTGGTGATTTTTGAGCGACTTTGAGTGATACTTTTTGGTGGACTGCCCCTAACAGCGTTTTTCCCATGGGCCCCATTATTTGGATAATGCGATTTTCTATAATGCGCTGTTGCGCAGGAACGCAACTATCATGTTATAGCAGAACTGACTGTATTTAGCTTAGTAGTCAGGTCAGTAACTGGGTGCATATGTTTAAAATTACCTGTAGAAGGATAAGAGGAAGGCAGCAAAAATGGTTTCACTCAAGTGGCAGGAGTCTAGAATTCACTACCTTTTCGGATCGTAGAAGCAGAAATCTTCAGCTCATTTAGGAACACAAGATTAGGAGTATGCCATTGAGCCCCTCATGCCTGTTCTGCATTCAGTGAGATTTGTGGCCTAACTCCATATACCAATCTTTAGCCCATATCACTTAATACCTGCGATTAACTTCAAATCTGAGATAGATAAATTTTTGTTATCAACTGATCTAGCATCAACTACCTGTTGTAGAAGAGAGTTTCAAACAACCAACACCCTCTGTGTGTAGAAATTCTTCCTGATAATTCTCCTGAATGGTCTAGCCATAATTCTTAAACTATGCTTCTAGAATCTCCAATGAGCGGAAATAGTTTATTTTTATCTACCCTGTCTTTTTCTGTTAACATCTTGAAGATTTCAATCAGATCACCCCTTAACTTCCTAAATTCTAGAAAAATCAGGCCTAATTTGTACAATCACTCCTTATAACTTAACACCCAAAGTCCAGGTATCTTTCTTGTAAACCTACGCTTTACTCCCTCTACACCAATACATCCTTCCTGAGGTGTGATGCTCAGATTGGCTCTCAGACCTCCAAGCGGGGTCAAGCCAGGATTTTGTATAACTGCATCATACCTTCTGTGTCCTTACACCTTAGTCTTCTAGATATAAAGGCATCAACATTCCATGAGCATCAGCAGGTGCACTGGCGGTAATTTTCCAAAATTCGCTGGACTCTGGGGCAGTCCCAGCAGATTGGAAAACAGCAAATGTGACGCCACTGTTTAAAAAGGGAAGTAGACAAAAGATGGGGAATTATTGACCGGTTAGCTTAACCTCTGTAGTGGGAAAGATGCTTGAGTCTATTGTCAAGGAAGAAATAGCAAGGCATCTTGATAGAAATTGTCCCGTTGGGCAGACGCAGCATGGATTCATGAAGGGCAGGTCATGCTTGACAAATCTTTTGGAATTCTATGAAGACATTACGAGCAAGGTGGACAATGGGGACCCAGTGGATGTGGTGTACCTAGATTTCCAAAAGGCCTTCGACAAGGTGCCGCACAAGAGGCTACTGCATAAGATAAGGATGCATGGCGTTAAGGGTAAAGTATTAGCATGGATAGAGGATTGTTTGACTAACAGGAAGCAAAGAGTGCGGATAAATGAGTGCTATTCTAGCTGGCAGTCAGTGACTAGTGGTGTGCCTCAGGGATCAGTGTTGGGACCGCAATTATTTACAATTTATATAGATGACTTGGAGTTGGGGACCACGTGTAGGGTGTCAAAGTTTGCAGATGACACTAAGATGAGTGGCAGAGCAAAGTGCGCAGAGGACTGTGAAACTTTGCAGAGGAACACAGATACATTGAGTGAGTGGGCAAAGGGCTGGCAGATGGAATACAATGTAAATAAATGTGAAGTCATACATTTTCGTAGGAGTAATAGTAAAAAGGATTATTACTTGAATGGTAAAAAGTTGCAGCATGCTGCTATGCAGAGGGACCTGGGTGTCCTTGTGCATGACTCACAGAAGGTAGGTCTGCAGGTACAACAAGTAATTAGGAAGGCAAATGGAATTTTGTCCTTCATTGCTAAAGGGATTGAAATAAAAAGCAGAGAGGTTATGTTGCAGCTGTACAAGGTGCTGGTGAGGCCACACCCGGAGTACTGTGTGCAGTTTTGGTCTCCTTACTTGAGAA